AGGTCATGGTCTCAAAGGAGCAGGTGGACAAATACCAGTTGGTCGCCAAGCAGTGCTGCTGTAGATGGAGCCCAGGCAAGGGCTAAAGGACATCATCAGAGAGGACTTCCTGGAAGAAATTGGCTCTACATTCAGTTCTGAGGACAGAGTTAGAGTCAGCCATGAGAAGGAATCAAGAGGGTGACTCAGGTGGCAGGAGAAACCAGGGTAGAGGCCTGGAGGCTTGTGGGATGGGGACTCGGGGAGAGTGCCCTGTGTGGTCCAGGGTGGTGGGTGCCCCTGCTGGGAAGGACACTGGAGAGGGCCTAGGGGTGGAGGGCTTTGGAGGAACTTGGTTTTTACTAGAACTGACTCAGAGGAGGCAGTGAAGGGTGTCAGCAGGGAGTGACCCTCAGGAGAGCAGATCTGCCTGTCCCTTTGAGCCCCACCCCTTCATTCATTTATTCATAACACACGCAATTCTGAGTGTCTAGGGGAGAGGGGGTGGACCCACAGTAGTAAGCAAAATGTACTTGCTTCTTGAGAGCTTAGCAGTGTCAGAAGTTGACTTAGCTTAGAATGTTCTAGGAACACAACAGGGCACCTAACCCAAAGTGCGGAGTTTGTAGGGAAGGAAGGCTTCCTTGACAAACAGTCAAAATGAGCCTGGAGGCAAGTGGGAAATAGCAGCAGGTCACGGGGCCCCTGAGGTCACTCGGGACCTGGGTACTTAGGTGAGGCTGGGCAAGCGTGTTAGGGGTGGGGCTAGAACTCTACCCGGGAGCCTCTGAAGGGTTTGAAGTGGGGTGATGTAATCAAATTTGTGCTTTGGGAAGGCTGCCTTGGCTCTGTGTGTGTGTGTGTGTGTGCACACGCGCGCGCGCATGTGAGTAGCAGGGAACAGGGGAAGGGTGCCACCATCTGGGAGGGCCATTAGAAGGCATTCACAGGCTGGGAGGTGACCAGTGGGAGAGGGGCATCGGGGCTGCTTGGGGACTTCAGGGGCAGTGTGGATGCCGGATTTCCTTATGGGAAGGGCTTGTTAGCTGGGCCGCCCTAGAGGCACCTTGTGGCTGGAAGAAAACAGATGGAGGCCGCCAGCTGGACTTTCCTCTTCTCTCCTTCCCTGCCTTGTGTGATGATCCTAGCTCAGCCAACATATGGAACAGAAAAGCTAAGTTCCAGGGTAGCCCAGGACTTTGCTGAGCTCGTTCGAGTGAGATCTGGTAGGATATAAGCTTGTGTTGAGTTCTGCATGTTCACTTAGCTTGAAATGTCCCGTCTTTTGGATTTCCATAGGGGTATTAATTCTTGATAAAGATTGCTTTCTTGATGAGAGGAAATTTAATACAACTGCTGTCTTTCTCAAAAAAAATCTTATCTTTTAAGAAATTTAATATTCAAAAGAATCGGAATATTTAAAAATGTTAAAGTAAGGCTTTGGTGAAGTTTCTTTGTTTTTCTGAGTTGATGTTGAGTTAGAGCCTTTGCATTACTTAATAGCACATCCTTGTCAGTATTTAAAGAGCTGTTAGTGAGCGCCCCAGACACACTTTTCAAACCATCATTAAAGCTTGCTCTGAAATAGTGAAGTCATATAGGTCTTGTTTGCAGAAGCCAAACAGTTGGTTTATAATCTGCAGCATAGTTCCCTTTATAAAATAATAATAGGTTCAAAATTAAGAAAGTGGAAAGTAATTAAGTTTTTTAAAGCTGAAACATAAACTTTCTTCTGCTAATGTTGCAACTGGAAATTTCAAAAAGAAAAATCCTACTGTAATATCATCTACGTGAAATACATATATAT